TCGGTTCCCACTTGCTGCAAAAACTCCCCCTGGACAGATGCCATGACCCTTCTTTCAGCAAGTTCTCTGCTCACAAACCAGCACTAGTGTCTGCGCCGGGTTCGGGTCTCTGCCGGCACCAAATGGGTGCTGCAGGATTAACTGTAAAGGAAGAGAGGCGACGACAGTCACCACCCGCGAGGTGGCACTGCAAGAACGCGGCTCACACAGCTGTGAAGGAAATGAAGTTCCCAAAGAGAAGGGCATTTCATTTCCATCAGAAAAAAAACAGAAGCTGCTGCTGCATCTGTGAAATCTTTATAGCAAGAAACAAGTTACAAGCTTGAACGCAAAAAGCGAGACTGCAGCCACTGCAGAAAGCTTGAACAAGGACAAGACTTTTTGGAATACAGGAGCTTGGGAAAGTCAAAGTAGCACTTGCAGTTTCTGAACCGAGACACAACCCATCTTCCTCTGCAAGGAGACAGTTCGCTGCAATTCCGAGTTACGGCAGGCCTGCTGTACCAGAAGGAAAAGGGGGAGACTGTGCATGTGTATACATATGGAAATGGGGAGAAACTCGGAGGTATGACTAAGAAGGAACAGCTCCAACTGGCATGTATTAATCAACACTCCATGACCAGGCAGTGCCTGGCTTTCCTGTCATGCATCAGGTCCTACTATCCTTCTCCCTTTTCAAAAGCAACCGGTCAAGTAGGGACTGGAAAACACACAGTGAGAGTGAATCAACTTCCACGGCACGAACGTTATAGATACGCCACAAAAGCATATGGCTGATGAAGAAAGCAAGATAGAAACGCCACGTGAGGTCCCTCCGTGGGGCAATTCAGGTCACATTTATCAGGTCAAATCAGTATTTGTTAGTATCAATTATCGGGCCACTTCTGAGCATGATACACTATAGCTGAAATCCCCTGCTGATAACCCCCAGTAGCAACTCCAATAATAAAAAATAACCTTTTAACAATAGGAGAAGTATTGTAATTCTAAAGGTGACTGTTCACTCACAGAGCCTCTCTGCTTCATTCACACTTGCACTGAGTGACCCCTGACACAATAAGATGCTTCTTACCAGAAATGGTAAGATTGCTCTTTTGCATCCCTTTCCTGTTATAATGATCAGAAACATTCCACAGAAATGCATCTTCTTATGCAAATGTACCAAAAGTGGGAAAACAGGATGCCTGTATGAATCAGTTGCAAATGATTAATGAAAAGGTAATTGACTAAATAGTAATAAAGGGCTTGAGTCAACTCAGGTGACTACAGCAAGCATATAAGCCAGTGAAAGTCACCCACGCAGCCACAAGCAAGACATAGTCCAATTTCAGACACGTCCTCTGAACGCTTGGCTGAAATCTTCATTGGTGAAGGATGTCAGTAAATAAACATTTTTAATCCAACAAGACCAATAACAGAACTGGGCAGAGAGATGACACAGTATCTGAACAGCAGTGCTGAAAACACAGCTTAGGAGCTGCAGAGTCGAGCTCTGAGCACATGTACTAGACTGTTTCCTGGATCCCCTGTTCATGTGGAAGCGTAAACTGTACCCTGGGAACACACAGCTCTGCAAAGCCCTCTGAACCACAGTGTGCTCTGTTTCCTCTGCAGTTGCCCAAGCTCTTGACCTTCATCAGTAGCCAGCATTGAATTTCCAACAGATGTATTGGAAAAATAGAGAAGCTGCACCCACTCGCTGCTGAAAGACAGGGTAAATGGACATGGAGGCCTCAATTCACCCGGCCGAGTTTTTAACAGAGGCACGGAAAGCTCCTAACATTTGCGTCACCCAAATGTCTGTGAACTGCTGCTTTATCCTGTGTCAGCAGAAGAACAGCAGCAACACCCAGACTCTTACGCAGTCTGCTAACAATAAACCTTCTGCTTCTTCCCAAGGGAGAACACGTTCTCACCTCACTTACCCACTAGTCACTTCAAGAGTTCTGTGTCCTCCCGAGCTCCCTTGCCCTTCCTACTGCATTTGCTGGATCTCTCTTCTGCGTTGTGGCTGGAGAGACACGGCCGAGACAGCTTGAGGGTTCGGGGCAGTTTGGGCTTCTGACTCTGTTCTTTTGTCTTCTAGAAGTAAATGACATAGACTGGCCTCAAGGAGATTAATGGCCCTTCCTTTTCTTCCTTACTTCCACGGGATCCCTAGTGAGAAACTGTTCATATTTTATCCCTCAATAACCCCATCCCACCCCAAAACAAAAAAGAAAAAAATTAATAAAGTAAGGGATGATGTTTGGGAGTTTCAGAAGAGCTGAAAATCATCCAACATAAGGCTACTTTTGCCAGTGCAACAGTTTTTTTCTGCAAACTCCAAGAAAAAGGAACTACTATTTTTTAAATATATATATATCACTACTATTTTTTAAATATATATATATATATATTTAATTTCTCAGACCTCTCATGGACACTTAAGTCACACCTTAAATAAGCTTTGCCCCTGCTTCAGTTCCTACCTAAAGACCTCTGGTAACTGAAACCAATCAGACATTTAACACTCAGCTTTTGTCTCCTTTACACTGGGCTGCAGCGTAACAGCTCGAAGGTAGTGAGCAGTGCCAAAGCAAGAGCAAACTTCCTACGAGGGCACTCACAACTGGGGTGTATCTAATACCAGGGCACACAACACGGGAAACGCAGACAAGCAAGGAAATGGAGCTATGAACACTGCTCTTTAAAATCTCCCTGGCATGAAAAATATGCTCTGCCTTTTGCTACGTGCATTCTAATAACATCATTTTAGTCCCAATTTAATTTCCCCTGAGGGTCGCTGATGGTGTCTGGGAAACAGGTATGTTTAAACCTCCTGTCAACCCAACATGGCAGGATTCAGTTTCTGGGATACACAGTGTTCGTCACTGTGGTTCTAATGCCAAAAACTGAGCAGCAAAGAATGAATCAACTTGTCAGTCATGCAGAAAGTGCAAGGGATCAGTTCTTCTGCTTTCCAATCCCACACTCTCTAATCAAAGCACCACTAATCAATATTAATATTAGATAATTCCCCTGTAACTGCCATCACCCAGCAAGGCTGCATTTAGAGGCCAGCTGAAATTGTTTTAAATAAAGTAGAATTTACTAATAATGGTTACACTGTTGTCACACCCTGGCTGTCACCGTGAACAAAGTTTCAGACTGTTAATGCTCTAGGCTCTGCTTCGGGAAGGGAATTGCTCAGGGTTATTATCAGCCATTGTAAAATACCTTAGCAATGAGGTTAAGCATTAACTCGGAGCCCTGTCCCCTAGAAACGTTACTGTCACAGCACAACACGCTTAATGCTGTCACCAATCAATCATGCGTACAACCAGAACACAGCAGCATATAAGAGGAGCCAGAAACTCAGCAAGTCGTTCAGCTAAGGGAAGGCAAACTGCACTGAAGCTTATCCCCATGGAGAAATCTACTGACAGGGCAGACAACAAAAACGAGTCCACGACTCCCGGATTACCGCAGCTCGGAAATGGTAGCCCCAAGGCCACCACAGAATGTGCTTCAGGAATGAGCACAGCAGCAGCTCTCATAGAAAACGCTGAGGATGTGAAGAGGCTGGGACTCGCTGAAGAGCATGCTAAAGAAATGGAGAGACTGCCAGGCACAGAGCTGGACAGCCCAGGTGGTTTTAAACCAGCAGCTTCAGAAAGGGACAGCCCAAACTCAGAGCCACCAATGACGGTAATGAACTCTTCAATCTCTCCTGGGGTATTCAGCTCTGAAAGGCGTTTGCCCAAAGCATCTCTCGCAGATATGGACTGCCTGGTCTGCTTCAACAGGTACAACATTTACAGAGTACCAAAGCTCCTGGCCTGCCAGCACGCTTTCTGTGCTGTCTGCCTTAAGCTTATTCTTAGGAAAGATGACAAGACTTGGATCATCACCTGCCCTCTGTGCAGAAAAGAGACTGTTGTGTTAGGAGGACTCATCCGCACACTTCACAATAAAGACGACATCATGGAACATTTGGAAAATCCTGATTTAACTCTCGAGATGTACATCTCCCCCACAGGACTGGACAGCAAGAGCTGGACTCAAACCAGCCAAGAGACTTTACTCCGAGAACAAAACACTCCAGCGGACAACAGGCTGGCTATCCAAAGACTTGTGCTGCTCTTGCTGCTTCTCGTGATTCTTACCATCCTCATCCTCCCCTTTCTGTACTCTGGGCTGATAAAATGGGTAATTTGCCTTATGCTTACACTGGGGGTGATCATGTCTTTGGTGCTTTGCTGCAATCCTAGACTCTATTGCAGCTGCAGAGGGAACTCACTGGCCTCCTGCCACAAAGACACCAACATCAGTGCTATCGCTTGAAACAGCCAGTGCAGGAGAGCTGCTGTCACCAAAATGGCACGTGAGGAGCACTGCTCAGCGAGCACGCTGTGGAAGTAATCTTTCCCATAACAAATTCACCAAATATGGCTAAGTTATCCCACTAAGGCTCAATGCCAACACGTAATATTGTTCGATTTTATCATCTGAAGCATATTGAACTATTTATATGTGGTATTTTTAACACAGAGAATGGCAGGCTTTTTGTGATTTGTACTTCAGACAGGTAATTTTGTTGTTCTGCTTTTGTCACTTTGTTCTTGTTTGTGTCATCTCTGGATGAGTGCTGAAGAACATCATTCAAAATGCCTGACAGATCTTACCCTGCAAAAATTTCTATCTGCTATCATACCTTCTGCTACCTTAACATACATTTTGCTTTTGCAGTGACAACGGAGTCAATTAGATTAGTAAACTCAGAACTGGAACCCCAGTGAAAGATGTTCACTTTAGCACAGATTATCACTTTAATCTCAGTCAAAATGGTTGTGGAAGTGAGGGGACCAGGAAAAGAGAACGTCAGTCTATATCATCTTAAATTACAAGTGAATGTAGAAAATAAACAGTGAACTAACACTCCTAATCTTGAGCCTGTGACTTGCAAAGGCTCTTGAATACCTGACACTCCAACCTCTCTCCTTCCTTTCATGTTCTTCAGCACTAACATGGTTCTTTTCACCTGAACTCCTGTTTCAGCTGGCTATCTGTATCACACCTCTCTTCTAGCCATCCTTCCTTGAGGCATGACCTTGCAGATGCTCATAATTTCTTGTCTGTAGATGAAAGAAATTCATTAATTGCGGTTATACCACATGTAGTATTTCTGTAAGGAATACTTCCATTAAAAATTAATAATGTTAATTGCTCACTGACTTTGGTGTCTGTTCCTCGCTGACAACTCATGCCAAAACATTTTACAGCTCCCCCACTGACAGGAATTACAGATGATAAACCTCCTCAAGGAGCCCATATAACTGGCTTGGCAAGTAAACCAGAAGTAATGCTTTTTGTTGGTGTTTTTTTTTTCCTCTACTTGATTAAAATAATAACTTACTTGCTAATAAAATACCCTATAGCCTAACTAAAATTAAACAAGGAATCAGGGAGATTCTTCTATTTACATTTTTAAGAGTTCCACCGATCTCAGTAGACTTTGGATTGGGTCTGTCGTAAATATTTGTGTTTGATAAGAAAGGAAACTGATGTACTCCAGTTCCCAAGTACATATATATACATAGTGTCTGACCAGTAGATAAAACAGATTAGACAAAGAGGGGAAGATGTCCTCCTAAAGTCTTAGGAAAAAAAAAAAAAAAAAAAACTATTTTCTGCTTAATAACAGAAAGATTCAAGGGGAACAAAACACTTTGTTTCTTCTCATATACTTGGGCTGCAGCAGCCTAACTGTATAGCACACATATAATAACATTACTTTAAAAAATAGGAAAGACAGAAAGATTTCAACCCAAATATCTTATAACATAGTGTTATTTCAAATGCAAGGATTGAGCCAACTATTCACCTATACTTAAAGTTTCAGAAGCTTTTGTCAAGTACTTCTGCTCATCGCAATTTTCCTGCTAAGCCCCCTTCACAATACTAGAGGATGACCGATATCACAGAGGTTTGTAGCAAATATTAACATCCGCCTGAATGAAATACGAAATGCAAATAAAAGCATCCCAACAAGCTAGGAGAGCTGAAGAGCAGCATGCAGTAATAATACTGATTTCATACAAATGACCAGATAACAAATCTTTCACTCTTAACCTGACTGAGCTCCACCCAGCATCCATTGGGAATACCTGAATGTCACTTTTCCTTCACATTGTCCCCCGGACCACTTTCAAAGCTCCCAAATTCCCCACCCCATCCTTTCTCAGGCCTCTGAAAACCAGCCCCACTGTGGTCCCACCACAGTTAGTAGCTGCTTATGCAAGAGATGGAGACAGATGCCTCCAATTTTGAGTGTAGGTGTTCAAAATTACTGTTAAATGCAGCAGCCTTGCTTGGTCTACAGAACTCCAAATTATCTGTAATTGCAACCAACTTTGAGTACTATTAAACCATATTACAAGAGTCCAAATTTATAGCATCAGATAAAATTCACTCCCAGTTATCCATTCAACGTAGAACTACTTTTAACATCTCTAGGTGTATTATCCCATTTATTTTGTCTGTTGTATGTGTGTGATAAATAACACATTTCACACTTCAGTCTCTCTCAGATCCTTCACAAAGAGGACGTTAAGGCCTCAAATGCAGAGTTTTCAAATTTATGAGGAACCAGTTTACAGATTTTTGTCCAAAAACTTGTGTTCAGATGACTCCTTGCTGCTTATGCACAATTTGCAACTTGTCCTTCGTACTGTGCAGTTGCGTAAGTCACAGGATAAAGCACAAACCCTCTGTCCCCTAGCTGGGATCAGCAGGGCGTTCGCCATGTATTTCACAGGAAACTTCAGTGACTATAAGATGATGTTTAAGACTAAAAACCGTGCATGCCTATGTGAGGAAAGCCAAGGTCTTGAACTACTTCTATCAAGCAAAATAGAACCCAAACTGGCTTTTAAGCAGAACGTGCACTCATAGGTTTTTTTTCCATCCTTAATGTGCCAAGTAGCATCTTAAGTATAAGCTAGAGTTAGTCTAGCTAACAAGCATCCAACACAAAGATTTAGATTCCGCAAAGAAAAAAAAATATATAGTTTTTCTCCAAGAGTTACCACATATCTCAGCAGAGGCTTCTGCCCAAACCCACTTTCAGAGCACAGACGTGTGCTAGAACACACAAAACATAATGCGAAAGCTTAAGCTCCGACAGCTCCGCAGCCTTGGGACAAGGTCCAACGATTTGTAATGAAGCCAAGCTGTGTCTATAACCTTGCTTCCACCAGAAGCAATAGCCACATGGCCATACATACATATATAGGTATGGAGAAGTATCTATGCATTTATACACACACATTCCTTTAGCTTGCTTAAATTTTTATACCCCCGCTGGTCACATTTTACATTACAGGCACTACACAGAAGATGACACCTCGGCTTTAGCCTTCCTCAGAGCAAGCTCCAAGCAGAGGCACCAACCCGGGTGCAGCCAGGGCAGACCTGCACCTTCACCCCTCGGGGCAGCAGCCAAAGGGCAGCTTCACCCAACACCCGGCATCCCCCCTCCTTCCCAACCCCTTCCCTGGAGAGGGGACGTGTCTCGGGAGGAAATGGGGGCTCCTCAGGAAGCCAAGGGGCCGGTATGGCCTGGAAGCAGGAGACAGGTGACATGGCGTGCAGGGCACAATATGGCAGGCCAGGCCTTGAGGCAGGAGCAGCCGTGCCCACCCTCTGAGCGGCCTTATCCCTACCCCTACCCGAGCCACCACCCCCGGAGGCAGCAGGACCGGGGGAAGGGTAAGCCCCGCGCTGGCTGGGGGGGGCGGGGCC